TTAAACATGCACATAAGAAACAGTTTCTAAATCGTGGCAGAGGAAGAAGATCATGGGAACGTGGGTGCAGTTTTAACACCATAGAAGAAGAAACTGCAACACACACGAAGAACGTGGTAGCAGTTTTGTTAACTGCTCCTAGAAGGCTTGAATGATACCCTATAAATAGAGCAGGGGAGGAAGGAATGGGGGAGCGAGAATTGGCGAGAGAACAAAATTAGTAGTGAAAAAGTCTACCGGAGAAACGACGAACACCATGAAGCTTCGGCAATCTGGGTTTCTATGCTCACTGAGTACCTTTATCGCTTTCTGTATTTTCCCTGGTAATTTACTTTGATGCAATTTATGTTCAAGCAATTTTATGTTTTTGTATTTTCGACTCTTAGTCATTTCGATTCAAGTACAAATTAAGTTTACGTATTTAAATTCTCTGGTCATTTTACATTAATGCAAATTCAATTTCCAGTCATTTATTGCACCTTTGATTTACTGTCCTTTACATTTCCTGCAAATTCGATTTCTCGATATTTACATCGTTGTTGTTTCGATTCCTTGTCTTTTACACTTAAGCAAATTTAAGATTTCGTAGTTCACGTCTCTTTGCAATCTAAGTTTCAGTACTGCTCTTCGATTACATATATCTTCTGCTTTCTTTACTTCGAGCATTCTTAAATACAAAATCTCAAAAATAGTATCTTTGAAATCGGGTAAAATACGATCCTCATACATATTTCGATTGAAAATCGATTTGCTAGCCTAAGCAAAAAGAACCTACGTGGTAGAATTTTGATTATGATCAAAATATCTTAGGAATCGAAATCGATCAAAATTCCACCAGAAACACTAATATAATTTAAACTAATTTTCATTACCTAAAAAAGTCTAAGTTGTCTAAATATAAACATCAATAAAATAATACGAACACGGTAAATTTGAAAGGGTAAAAACACAACTCACTTGTAAAAGACCGGACAGTCAGTGTAAAATATAAAAAAAATATTAAATAAAGAAATGGTAAAATGCAATGATCTTTTTAAACTGTTGGTCAAAATTAAAAATCGTTTACTGTTCAAAAGTCAACAAATTAATTCTCTACGACTCAAAGTACGGTATTCTGTACACGTGCAGAATGCTCCTTATGATAAATCAATCCGCACAGTTTTAAAATTGAAGGAATCAAGTATGGAATTAACATTATTATTATTTTTATTTTAACTTAAATAAACAGGTAAATTTAGTTTATATTTAGCGATTTATAATGAAAAATTTGATAATTGTTTTTGAGATTTTATTAATAGTTTAAAAAAGAAAATATTGATGGATGTGGTGGGTATGGTCACGGAGGTAGCGTTTTGACGGTGCGAAAGGCAACAGGAGCCGTAATGATGTGTGAAAACGACATTTATCAGGCAACGAGGTTTGACCCGCAATACAATGGTTACATCGGTTAGGCTACCGAATCATGAATATAGTCAATTCTCATTTTATTTTATCAATTTATCATTAAATTGAAAAAATAAATATATCAAAATCAAAATTAATATAACATTTAAGAATAAAAATATTCCAATCTTAGATACTATCTATTTTAAAGTTACCATTTATTATAATTTTACTTTTATAAAATTAGGTTAAAAATATAAATTATTTATGACTCTTAGACTATGAGATTCACGAAAATATAAAAAAAAATATATATATATATATATATATAATTTATCATAACATTAATTTTAACAAATACTATAAATTATTTTAGTCCTATTCAGTTCAATTGCTTGAAATATTTATTAAGTTAACAAAATTTATATTGCTATAAAAAATTATTCCTTGATTTAAGAAAAATTAATAAAAATAGTTTTTGAACATTGATATAAGAAATAAAAAACAGGACTTATGAAAAAAATGAACATTGCATTTTCCCCTTAATTAAGATCTTATACTCTTCCCTTCTTCCACATTATTTTGAATTTTTGGGGGAAATTAGGTAATAAAAATGGAAATTATTTATTTATTAGTTTTTTATTATAAAAAAATATAAAGCTGAAAAAAAAATGAAGGACATGCAGGAGAAAACTTGTTAGCAAAGGGTGTTTTGCCAGAAAGTTGAAAGAAATATAGAAAAGAAAAATTACGAATTAAAAAAAAAATTATATTTATGTGAATGGAATGAGGGTGAAAAGCCTGTGTCAAGTTACCTACGTACACTGACAAACAACAAACGCATGCTTGTTCCATATTGAATCCATCATTTTATTTTTTTTTTACATCATTTTGATTCTAAATTTTTCTTGCACACAAATAATTGGACTCTAAAAAAAATTGGTTTTTCTATCATTTTGAAAAACTTGACTATATCATGTTTTGTGCTAAACTGATTTTACAGTGTGTTTATATATTTAAACAACGCAAAATGATCTCTATAAGTTTTGTGCTAATACCCATGTGTCATTCAATTCATTTTCATAGTGTTTATAATATTCAACACTACCATTTATTGTGATTATAGTAAAATAGTTTAGAATATGAAATCAACATCCAAAAAATTAATAACCCATTCTCTAACATCTTTTCAATTGATTAGTTACAAAACTTAAACTAGTATATTTGCTTTCATATCTTTTTGTTTCAACCAAAAGGAAAAAGTTAAAAAAAAAACACTATCACTTTTGTATAGGTTTTATTCATATTTTTAGATAGTTCATTAAATCATCTTAAATGATGCTTGTTACCATTAACTAATGTCATTTATCTTAAAACATCATACCATTTTTTTTCATGCTTTTAAATGTGTTTCTATATTTTTACATTATTTTTAAATTAAGCATTTTAAATATTTCTTATTTATCCCATCTTATTAGATTATATTGTATTTTAAAAAATATTATTTCAATTTAAATGTCTATTCTTATAAAAAATAAATATCAAATTAATTAAATGAATCCGTACATAATACAAATATTCTTATTAATTTATAAGAATATTCAAAATCGAATGGTTAAAAAAATTGTAGACTAATATAAATTATTAAAATCAATAAATTTTGTTTTCTTTAAATTTTTACTGAATCACAATTTAAATTAACTTCTCAAATTAAAAACTAAAAATTGAACCAAATAAAATTAAACCTCTTTATTATATACAAATATAATATTATTATTTTATTTGTATAATCAATTATCAACTAAATACATAAATATATTTTTTAGTAATATTTTATGGTTTAATTATATTTTATTTACATTATAATTATGTTAATCTAAATATTATAATATTTATTTTTTATTATCAAATTACCTAACATATTTTTAAAATACAAATAAAACTAAATTTATGAATATAAAAACAGAAATAAAAATCATTACATATTTTTATTTGACAATTTGTTTATTATAAAATATAAAATATTAAATATATATAAAAACTATGTTTTCTTTGAAATTCAAAACTAAACCTTCTAAATTCATATCTTAACTAATACCAATTAATTAAGAACTTTAAAAAAATGTTAAATTTGTGGTTAAAGTAATTTGTTAATTTTTATTGGAAAAAACTAAACCTATCAACAAGTATATTTTTACATGGATAATATTTGATATATATGTATATAGTTGAATATAGAAAATATTAATTATAATAATATAATAAATATATATTTTAAGATAAGAAATATGTGTATATGATTGTTTTTAGATCGCATTTGTGTTTGATATTAACTGTTTATCTTTTTATTTAATTTATCTTTTTGTTAAAGAATATACTTGACAAAATATAGGTTAGTTAAAAAAATTATAACAAATATTTTTAAAACTGAAACCGAATCAATAAAAGTATGTATTTAAGATTTAATAAATCCAATCCAATCTAACTTAATTTAATTTATTTTATAATGTTTACTAGTTTTATATCGAGATTTTGATTTTATATTGATTTAATAAAAAAATGAATTTTTGAATATAATAGATTGATTTCAAAATCAAGTTCTGTTTAAGCCTATTTTGAGAACACGTTACAATAATCTTCCCTTATGTTGAAAAAATTAATAACTTATCTACATGAAGTTGTAAATCAATAATTATTCATGGAGTAATTTTAAACTTATTTTGACTAATCATTTGGAAATAAATAAAAGATTTGACCTTTACCATTCTTTCATGTTTTGATTAAATAATGGTAAACTACACATATACTTAAATGTTAAATAGTACTTCTTAAATACAAATAAAATTTATTTATCTCAGTTTAAAAATAAAGGCATCCTATAAATCTCAACAAATCAAACTCAGCATAATTTAAGATAAATATGTATACTTGCATCTCTTAAATCAAAATCTGATATCCTTATTTTTTGAAGGTGTCTTTATCTTTATTACTCCATCCAATTTTTTCTTGATCTATGTAGTGAAATAAATAACCCTACCTATCTTATTCATTAGCACAGTCTTTGAGCAAAATGTCACAGTATACATAAATTGTGAAGGGCAACAGGCAAACCCAATAATTAAAGTTTAAATATGTATTAATTATATACTTATTTCCCTTCAGTTATAATGGTTTTTAAATTTAAATTTTAGATATTTTATGATATATTAAATATGAAAACATGTTGTTACAATTAATTTAACAATGAATAAAGATAAGGGTATTGAAATTTGTCAGGTTAAGAAAAAGGGTGAAAGGATATGACTCTTGGCCGAACAGGCACACACAAAATGATTAGGGTATTTCGATTTTGAGATCTTTCTTTATTGGCGCGTGTGGACACTCTCGGTTTCCGCGTGAGCTTGGCAGCACCACCCATACCACTGTGTGTCTCTACAAATACACCCTCTTCTCTCTTCATACACTCCCCTCTCTCTCTTTCTCTCACACACTCTTGGCACACCATCTTACCTTTTAAAATCTTCACGAATCACCAAAATCCCTTCACACACTCCCTCTCCCAACACAAAACAACCTTCTTTTTTTCACTTTTCTTGTTTTCTTTCTCTTTTCTCCTCATGGCCGAGAATCTCGACGACGGGGAGTTCTGGCTCCCGCCGCAGTTCCTCGCCGACGACGATGTTGCGGAGACACCCTTTCAGGAAAAGCGTCAGCCTTTTCAACACGATGCCGTTTTGTTCCCCTCCGAGTTTCCGTACGGGTTCCCTTGCTCCGAACTTGGTTCTCCGGTTGATTCCACCGCTAGCGGCTCCAGTGAGACGGAAAGTGACGAGGAGGAACAACTCGTAGCTGAGTTGACTCGCCGTGTAGCTCGCTCCTCCCTTCAAACCGATACCAAGTCTGTGGTATGAATAACAATAGGACTTTTTTGCCTTTCTTTATTTGCATAGTTAGTGTTATTTCGGAGTTTTCTTAGTTTTGTTTTAGTGTTTTAATGGTGCGTGTGTGGTTTTATTGCAGGGGCGATTTTTGTCTGGTTCACCACAATCAACGCTTTGTGCTTTTGGAAGTGGGTGTGGATGTGGCAAAGGGTCAAGCCAGGGCAGTCCTGATGGTGTTTGCAAGATGTCTTCTGCGAAAACCACTTGGGATCTCTTGCATGCAGCTGCAGGGGAAGTGGAGAGGATGAGATTGAGTCAAGAGGGTTATGCTTTCAACCAACACAATGGACACATGGTTCCTCAAAGAAAACCCTCTCCTGTTACCAGTCTTCCCCCCAAAACCACCACTACAACAAACCTTGAGGTTGGTTTTCACACTCAGCAACAACTCTCTCAGCATCAGCAGTTGCAAATAGCACAAGTAAGCAGCCAAATCTCACAAGGGCATAACACTTTCCTTTTGTTTTCTAGTTTACCCTTTTGTCATGACCTTGATTTGTTTTATTGTGTATTTTGGTAGTTTCAATTGCTGAGGCAGCAACAGCTGGCAAAACAGCAGAACTCGGTGTGGAGTATTCAGAAGCAATGTGGTGGGGTTTATTCCCAGAGGCAACAAATCAACCAAGTTGTTCCCAATAGAGGGAGGAATAATGATGTTAGTGGGAGGAACGTTAGGCCTTTGGGTTTGTCTGCATCTGCATGGCCTCCTCTGCAACATGCCAAACAGCAAAATCAGCAATATGGTTCTGGGATGAGAGCTGTTTTTCTTGGAAACCCTTCTGGCAGAAGGGAATGTGCTGGCACTGGGGTGTTCCTTCCTCGGCGAGTGGATAGTCCTGCTGAACCACGAAAGAAGCCAGGTGAGATACAGGGATTCAAGGCTTGGTTGCATTTAAGGTTTTTGAGTGGTCGTTGACATCATTTACTAGGGTTAGTTTCAGAGGTTTATTGGTTGTTGAAATTTGTAATTAATGCATGCTGCTTTGTTTTGTTGTGTTTACTTTTTGGTTAACTTTCTGCTCTGATAAGTAAATGTTCTATTTTAATTGTGAGCGTGTAAATTGCGGGGGTGTCGTAGTCATGTTCTATTATGATTTGCAACGAAGTGGTGAATATTTTTAGATGATTTTTTACCTAAATATTGTATTGGGTTTGCAGCGTGTTCAACCGTGTTGGTTCCAGCTAGAGTGGCGCAGGCTCTAAATCTGAATCTCGATGATATGGTGGGGGGCCAGCCGCAACACATGCAACGATTTAATGCTGGTTCCAACATGGAAAATGGTATAGTTTTGTAACCCTTGAAATGTTTGTTTACTTTTTTAATGCAATCCAACATGGTTGGTTTATTGAGCTGTGAGTCTTTGACTTTTTGTGTATTCAGGTGCAGCTGTTTCCAGGCTGAGGAGTAATTATGTCCTCTCTCAGCAAAAGCGCAACCTTAAGTCCCAGCCAGCAGTGTACCATGAGTTTAGGCTTCCACAAGAGTGGACATACTGATATAAGATTAATGTTTGGCTTGTTAGGGATGGGAATATTTTGTTATTTTGTTTTGTTGTGGGTGATGGTGATTTAGGTAAAACCGGGTAGGGGTTGAAGAAGGGCGGTAGGAATGAAAAATGTAGCAGTCTTCTATAGGAGAATAGGTTTATAGAAGGAGAAATAGTTTTTTGTTGGCAAATTGGGGAAAAAAAAGTTAAATGTAAAAGCAAAGCTTTGTTGGGAGAATAGAAGGTGGGTTTTATTTATTTGTTGTTTCGGCTTGGTCACGGTTGTAGAGGGTTAATAATAATAATAATAATAATAATAGAGCCTCTGGAAAAAGCTAGCAATGCTGCAGCATTGCTGAAGGTCGCAGTGATATCAGTTACTTTTGTTCTTTTTGATGGGCTTCGAAAGCCACAAGGGAAAGACAAAAACGGTGGATGGGTCAAATTTTACCCTTTTTTTTAATTTGGTGCTTTAGGGTAAATAAACCAAGCAATTTGGAAGGGCCGGACCATATTTTGCAGAGGGATTACGGCTCCTTCCCATAGTTGAATCACACTGGAATCATTTTGGGGAATTCTTGTCAGTAACATCTGATTCCAACCTGTCCACCTGCATTACTTTACTATAAATAATAATGAAGGAATTTTCACTATCTCCTCTCTGATTTGTTGATAATGATGTTTTCCTTTCGTTTGGCCCCCTCTAATTCTCGCTGTTTATTCCCGTTAGAAACAAATTAAATTAACGCACTTGACAAAACAGTTTAGTTGTACGTACTTAATAATAACAATATTGTAGAGATTTGTGAAAAGGGTTTCTTGTAAGATATAAAATCTGAGTGAAGAAGGCGTGGTTGCTTTTTCAGTACAAATTTAAAAGTAGCTTTCACATTGTCCAAGGAGTGGTTGCAGCTGGGATGTGTGTAAATTTTAATAAATCTGCGGAACCAATTGGGGAGTCTTGTAAAATAAAATAAATGTAGAAGCAAGAAAAGGGAGTGAGAACGTTTTTTGATGGGGCCATGATGAGATAAATTACAAACATTTGATATGTATGGTTATGGTTTGGAAGATTAGGTGATTACTTGGGAGGGAAGCTTCGGTTGAATGCAACTGGTTTGAGCCATGTGCGTAGCTTTAACACGTGTAAGGTAGAAGGGTTTTGCTTTAGGAGTGCTCACAAATCGTTTTCATGTGGTGCTTTCTTTAATGGCTAAGAAATCAATGTCCAGTCTCTGTCTTGGAACTCACAAATGTGGGGGGAGGCTGGTGCCTGGTTTTTAATGCTTTTGAGGAAACGTAGCCATCTATTATGGGGCGATGTTCTCACAAATGCATGGCCAACCCAACTCTACTTTGGTAAGAAAGGGAAGGTGGTGTGGTGTGCAACATCAACACCATACCATAACACCAAAACCTCCTTTCTTTCCTCCCTTTATTCCTCCCACCCAGTTTTCCCTTTTCCCTTTTTCCTTTATCCTCTTTTGGTGCACTGCATCTATGTTCACTACCCTTCCTTGAAATGCTCAGTTTTATCTCTCCCATTTGCCAAATCTTTCATCACAAAGCTCTGGATTTTCGCTTTCAACAAAATGCAATTTCTGTAATTAACTATGTCATCCAAACAATCTAACCAATCATAAGAATATTTAATTTTTTATATGTATTAAATATTAAAGACTTATCAACTAATATGACTATGACTACTGTAACTCTAGTTGTTCGAAAAATCATGACTTTTAAGAAGGGTCATCTATGGGAATCGAGATCCAAAGCTATGGGTATATTTTTTTGAAAATAAATAGTAATAATTATCATTTCAGACATAAAAACGAAGTTACAAATATTCAAATCAAGCGCAATAAACTAAAAATGAAATGTCAAAGTAGTAGTACATAGTGTTATGATATGGAAAATTTAACAGAATTTTAATACTTGACAATAATAATTTTACCATATTCATAGTGATATATAATTTGAATTAGATTACTTCTTATCTAGTATCATATTCTAATATTGAGGCTTTGAAAAATAATGTAACTATTTAAAATTAACTTTTCAATTAAAGATTTTTTTATTGATGTTATCACATATTTTTTAATTATAAAAAGAGTATTAAAGTTATTTCTTAAATATATGAGACTAGTAATATATTAAATATTAAAAAAAAATTAACAATGTAACTAACTGTTCATATAAAATAACTAAATTTCCAAAAAAAATTATATATTCTTATACTATGGTTAACTTAGCTAAAAAATTTGTTAATATTATTTAATTCTATCACTAATCTTCAACTAATAATAATAATAAAAAAAGAAGAAGAACTGATTACAGTTATAATAAAAATATATTAACATTCTCTTCTTCAAATTTTGTATTCTTTGTTTAAAATTCTCAATCTTCCATTATTATTTGTCTTCGTATCATTAGTTTATTTTAGCAAATTTAAGTACATTTCTTTTAATTTTTTTTATTTAATTTTAATTCATTGGTTCAATCTCCAATTAATATATATATATATATATATATATATATATATATATATATAATTTTGTTAGGTGCTTTTAATATTATTTATAAAATAATATTATCAAATAAAATATAATGATATAATTATTTTTATTATATTACTCATAAGTATTAAAAAATAGTTACATAATAGACGAGGAACTTTTGTACATATGAAAGATAGACAAAATATATATATATATATATATATATATATATATATATATATATATATATATATATATAAAAAGAGGGAAATAAAAAAAATATCATGCATATAAAAATATTATTAATATAAAAATATAATATAGATACACGATAACTCGTTTATATTTTCTAATATTTACATAATAGTCTTCATTAAATTCATGATGCATAATAAATTTGTCAAAACCTTGAATATATCACTATAACACGAGAATTACATGTTTTTTTTTTTTTTTTTTTTACTTCAAGACCATCAATGAATAATAATAGATTTGTGATCTTTTTATTAATTTAATAATTACAACTCATTATTAATATTATAAAATAAACATTAGTAATATATAATTGAATATTTAATATAAATTTTCTATAAACAGCTTATCTATAATTTAATGATACAAAATTGTATATTATTGATTTTATGATCTATAAAAATAAAAAAATAAAAACAATTTATCTACAATTTAATAATAATTTTGTTCATATTATTAATGTTTTATTATAAAAAAATAAAAATTATATTCGAATATTTGAACATAGCAATTTTGATTTTATGAAATTTTAATATTAATTTCATAAAATCTTAATATTAATTATTTAGAATTATAATATTAACTATTTAAGATATCTACAAAATTAAAATATTCTAATTAATATTAATTTATTATTTAATATTTAATTAAATTTTTATTTTATAAGCATCATATTTTTTTTGCTTTTCCTGTTTATATTAGTTACATTTCTTTTTTCTATTTTTCATGTAATTTTCTCATATTTTCTAACTATATAAACTATTTTTATATTTATCGATAACGTAATAAAAATATATAATGTTATGGTAACTATTTTTATATTTATCAGTATCATAATAAAAATAATTATATTTTATTTGATAATTTTATTTTATAAATAATACTAAAAACAGTTTAAATATATATATTTTGGAGCTCTGAGTTAAAATTAAATACAAAAATTAAAAGAAATATAGCATAAATTTAAAGACTAAAATCAACTAATGATGTCAAGACAAATAATAAAAGAAGATTTATAAAATGAAATTAATAATTTTAAACAATGAAAATAAAACATGATATATCGCTATAGTATAAATTATGAGAATTAGAAGAATTTTTATTATTTTTTTAACTTCAAGACAAAACCATTAATAAAGAATAAATTTGGAATATTTTATTAATTTAATAATTACAACTCATTATTAATATTAGTAATTCATAATTGATTATTTAATATAGTTTTCTTATAAACAACTTATATATAAAAATTTGTAAAATTTATATGTTATTGATTTTGCGTCACATAAAAAATAAATATTATATCTAAATACTTTAATATTATAACTTTAACTGAAACGTTACTAATTTTTTATAATCGTAAAACTATTTACAAAATCAAAATATTTCTACTAATATTTAATTTTATTTAAAATTTAGTAAATAATGCATTTATACTATTTTGTAAAAATCACTGAGGGTTATTAAATGCGTGAAAATGAAAGTTGTTGTAAAACGTAATTAACATTGTTAAAAAATATGGTAGCCAACTAATATTACAAATCCATTTTTTTAATATTACTAGATCCTTTTGAAAATAATCAAGACATAAATACTGAGGAAAACACTACAAAAAAATATTATTTAATTTTATTAAACCCTCATATTTAATGAATTAAATTTATCATAAAAAGACATTTGTAAGCAAAGTAAAATTATTATAAAAAATAAAACATATAAATATACTACATTGAAAAAAAATAAAAAAACATAATCTTGAGTAAAAAAATTCATTATTATTACTTTAATAAAGTAATTCTATGAGTCTTTTTTAAGTTATCACTTAATCTATCATTATTAAAATTGGTTAGTTGTAGCATCATTTGATCATTATAATTTAAACAACATAAGAAACACTGAGGATAAGTTAATGTTTAACAAAATCATATCAACTCAAATACTAAATTATTATTTACATAACTGTTTTCACATGTTTATCAGTCGTTGAACATTTTATAATATAGATATTTGAGAAATTGGTTTTTTGAAAATCATGTTTTAAATTAGATTCAAAAGCAATGTCTATATTGTCTATTCGTATGGGTAAATTCCTTATTATTATATTATATTTCATTCTCACAACCTCATTTTTTTTAAGTATTATTATACTAATAGAATTAAGTTATCTAACTTCCTAGCAATTATTATACTACATCATATACAATTTACATGCAATCATATTTTATGACATTATTTCTCAATCTTATTATCATAAATTTATATATATATAAAAGAATGACAATATATAATTATATTTTTATTAACATACAAGTGAACAACATATAACAAAGTTTTAAATATCTAAACACGTGTCCATAGCTATGTACAATTTCAATCATACAAGAAGTTATCGAAAATCAAGTTGCAAAAATCTATCCGGAAGAATAAATTTTAGAGTCTACATACTGGACAACAACCTTAGGGACAATATGTGTATAAATCTAACAACAATAACAAATATAAAGTTTATTATTGATGGAGCTAAGGCTGTGATAATTTAGTATTACCAACAAATTTATGTGCAATGTTTTAAGAATTTTGGTTAGAGATGTTTCTTATTTGTTATTATATTGTATTCTGAATTCGTTTTTTAAGTATTCAGTTGTTAAAGAATTTTCAGAATATATTCCGTAGCATTTAAAAGTTCTATGTTGTAAGTTATCTACTGGTTTTTTCTTTATTTAAATTTAATTTTCTAAATATAATTATGTGCATTTCTGTTAAATATTGAAGAGTCTTACGGTGGGAGGAGAAAGATAGTGTGAATGTAATGCATATCACAATCTAATCTATTGGATGCAATCAAAATCTCATTTGTTGAATGTGTTACGTAGATTATATAAAATAAGAATAAAATGATTCGGAACATGCATTACACAGTAATTTGAATGATCTGCAGTTTGATGTCTAGTTGGATCCAATGGGTATTTCATTTTGTGGGATTTTCATAGGTATCTATCACTTGCCCCTTATACAATTGCATATGCTTTCCCAATATAAATGGTACCAAAAAACATAGCCTAAAGTTTTGTCCAAGCATGAAGATATTAGGTATGCAATGTGTATAGTTGTAAGATCCATTGAAGCAAACGATAATGTGATGTACATACACTCTGTTACATTGACATGTTAAGGTTTGAGTAATCACGTAGTAAGAGAAATGTGGACCCTTTAAATCACATCATGTTCCATTCTTTCAGAAAGTCACGAGAGACAACAAGCAACAATTTATGCACAATCTGTTTCATTCAATTTTCATGATTCTTAACGTATGGCCTTAACTTTTTTTTTTTCTTTTTAAATACACATCACTCCAATGCACAATTACTCTGTTTCTTTGCTCAATATATATAAACTGTTAGTCTATTAAACATTTCTTTAAAAAGTATATTTGCTTATAATTTCCTAACGTTTAGAAATTGATTTTGAACAAAATGATTTCTTTTTTAGCTAATAGTTATTTCTGAAGTAAAAGCTATATGTACATTTAATGTAAATCTAATGTACATTTAATATTATTTTTAATTAAAATTAATTCTAAATCCAAAATCACGTGACCTATTTTTAAAGTGAATGTTTAAATTTTAAGTTTGATGGATATTTAGTATATTTTCGTCACAATTTTGTTTTGAAAATATACTTTGGTTAGAAAAACAAGTATTTATATATTATTCAGTTGCCAGAAGTAATATAAAACTTTTGAAGCTAGCGAAACATGTTTATGTGTCTAACGAAAGTGCTTATGAGAAAGAGAAC